TGTGTGTGTGTATATATGTACACGTATATGTGTCCGTGTTTGTGTAATTTATAATGTGTGTGTGTGTGTGTGTGTGTATGTACACGTATATGTGTCCGTGTTTGTGTAATATATATCCACACATACAAGTATATTTTGTGGATACATGGGCTAATTTTTTCCCTATCGCTTATATTCATTGCTGTTCACGCGTACATGTTTAGAAGTGTATGCAAATGTGTGCACTTATGACATATACAGAGATGACTTTTATTGCAATCCTACTACATACAGATACTCGACATTGTTGACACTGTTCACGCGTACATGTTTAGAAGTATATTTAAATGTGTGCACCTATGGCATATACAGAGATGACTTCAATTGCAAATCTACTACATATAGGGTCGTTAACACCAAATATTTGCAATAGTCTCTAAATGTAAACAATGTCGTGTATTTATATATCTTTATATTGATACGCGCGAATTGTCGCCGCGTGAAATATGTAATCATAAAACTATCTTCACATACATACGTAGCCCCTCGTCGATTTTCAATACGGTGGGATTTTAGATATTTGATTATAACGGACTTTGGGTTGTAGAGTTTTTAGAAAGACTTCGTTTTCTTTGTACCGAACATTGCAAATAATATTTAGATCTCAGAACAACTCTCAGAAGAAGTGTGTGACGTTTTCGTAAACAAACAGAGTTTGTCGATATTTGACCTAACAGAGGCGACATACATAGAACACACCTCACACCTCACACCTCAACCCTCAAGACATAAACACACTTAGTACCATGTTTCTTACCAGATCAGAGTATGATAGAGGTGTCAATACCTTCTCACCTGAGGGCCGTCTGTTCCAAGTTGAGTACGCCATTGAGGCTATCAAGGTATGTGGTGTATGATATATGGGTGACCTGGAAATGAAATTATATGAATGTTCGAGTCTTTGTTAACAAAACCTTAATAGCTTTAGATAGATATGCTACATAGTATCGTTTGCGCAGGTGTATATCTCTGATGGTATGCTCAATTGATATCGATATTGCTTGCAATGAAACCGACACATTATTGTTTGTCCTTATGGAAGCCTTGTTCGTATGCCAATACACTTTAGTGTAGCTGTCAATGTGATATTATGTTGCCAGTTTAGATCGGAAGCTTTTTTCGTATACCCAATGAACATGGATGTCTGATCCCTTGAAACCATTGTTATCTGCACATACTGCACTATACTACGAGGGATGGTATCGTACCTCTTATTCACATCACTATACGCTCCATTTCACTGCTTCCACTTATATGGCCAACTGAGAGGAGAGTGCTCGTCTTCA